TATTCAGCTTTTAAACAGATTCCACAGCCGTACTGATATTTCCCTTGATACCAAAATTAATTTTAATTATGTAAAAACATATTGAGGTGATCAGTGGAAACACAGTTTCACTTACATCTGGAATAACATGATCAGATCGGGGGAGAAAAATGATCTTAATTGTCATCATGATTTGTAGATGCAGTTAATTGAGTGTCAAGTTCTCAGGATGCAAAGAGAGAATATGGTCGAGATTTGCTCAAGGATGTTAAAACTGGTTCCTGCACCCTTTGCAAAAAGTCGTTTAACTTATTTTTGTCATCTGGTCCATACAGTTTGTGGTTATTACCTGACTGGGTGGATATTACATGTGTTCTGCAGACATCAAATTCCTCTTTCATGGTATTTTTGCTCTGTTTTGGTCTCCACACAATCCTGATGATGGAATTATGGAGCGCTTCATATATTATATTTTTCAGTAACGAAAAACTGAAAATTAAAAACAGAAAACAGAAAAAGGCATCTGTAAATTAGAGTCTGAAAACGTTTCATGTGCTTGTGATGCTGCCTGTGAACATGTTAGTCATATTTCTATCTTTTTAAAGCCACTCACATACTTCTCCATAATTACAAATCCCTTAATTACAGCTGTAAATTAAAGTCTGTATCTTTTGATTAACATCAACAAGTTCCTTGTTGGTTTGTCTGTGTCCCAGAAATGTGTTGTACTGACAAAAAAAAAAAAACGTCCAACTAATTAGTCAGATCTAGTTTTTAAAAAATCATCCGTTTAAAGTAATAATTATTCTACAGATCTCACTCTTTGGCGTCGACCGTCCCCTTGTCTGGACTGAGTCGGGTTGGTCTTAAATACGGAATGATAGGAGTCGGGGATTACTTGCTAATTAGTGTAACTGTGTCATGGGATTAATTAATTCAAAGCATTTACATATATTCTAATTGTCTTGCCAAGCTAATTGGCTTCACTGTGCCGCTGTTGTATTATTTTAGGGTTGTTGAAGTTTGTTTGCTTCCAGCGAAAGCCGGTATGTCACACTTCAACACGTTGCTGCTGCTGCTGTTGTTGCTGTTTAATATGTTGAAGCAGTGGAATAGAAATTGATTTATTCAAAACTCATTTGTTAGAGTCTCAGTACAGACCTGAGATGTTCTGTATCCTCTGTATTCAAAGTGGTGCCTTGACTGTGTTGTTACCTGTGTTGTATTCCAGTATTGTTAAGTAAGTTCGGAGACTCCTGGAGCTAAAATACTGCTGAGAAATAACTAAACGTATTATTTAAACTGCAAATAATAATAATATAATTGATAAAATATCCTGTTGCATCCCTTATAAATAAAACCTGAGTCATATGATACTGATTTTTATTGAGAAACATTTGAAATACGATTGCTGGCTATGGTTTATTAAACCAACCACTCTCCAAATAAATATATTACTTTTATCAGGCCAAGGTTGGTTAATACGATTTCCTTCATTTCACGTGACATTTCTGATTTCATAAATATTCTGCTCCTTCTAACAATTCCCCTTTTGTTGTTTTCTAAATGAGTCCTGAAAACTGAGCCTCTCTTTAGCCGCTTCTGAATTTAATAGAGCATAAAACAAAGACTTTCCCCAACAAAGAACAAAGAATGAAGAGTCATTGATCTCGACTGATTTCACAAATGAAGCAGCAGCTTCCTGGTGACAGTCTTAATCAGCCGCTCTTTCAGAGGAGCTGATGAGGCATAAATCATGCTGGGAGAACACACAGGGAAATCTGATAACCTAAAGGTCAAAGCAAAACTGTATTTTAGATTAAAACATTTTGAAACACAGCAAACTGGGTCATAAATTCATGTTTATGTATATTCAGTCGGGGGCATTTCTACCTCTGCTTGTATCGATTGTTACCACCGCCTCACTGTTTGTCGATACCCAAAAGGCTGAAGACCACTCGTTAAAACATTAGGGTTAGTTGATACTCATCTGTGAAGCCGAGCGTGTTTGGAAACTCTGAGTTAATTTAGCTGTACCCCGCACAGTGAGGGGGCTCGAGTGGGAGGACGAGTTGGCACAAGGTTCGACTTCCTCTCCATCCCAATCTCTTCCCTATGCATAATTATATGAATTGAATTAATTGGGGATACACATTTGCATATCTAGGTTATTTCTCTTATGGGGAGAGAAAGAGTCTTTGGAGAGTACAGAAACAATTACAAGGCTGCCAAGATGGTAAGACACCCCAATTTCTTCTATTCATTCAACATTTGCCCCCCAGTGTTTCACTCCGGGAAGGATTTAGCCTCGGAGCTCCGGAGGAACGATGTGATAACGCCACAGTCCAATATGTGCAGGAGTCACACCCATGAAGCAATTTAATGGACTCTGCAGCCACTTTTTGAAATGTGGTATCACCTGATATCTTTAAATTACTTTGAACAAACGTAGTTATTTATTATATATGGAACAGGGATGGAATTTTTTCCAGGGAGGGAATAATAGAAACTAGGTTTGGAAGAAAATGTGATTGGACCTGTGTAATCTAACACTGATTAATAAATGGTGTGAGGGAATCTCATTGTCTTCTCTTTTTTCACCACTTTAATGTACGATAACTGGAGCTAAGCTAATCTTATGTTTGACCTACTGAGCTGATGCATTATGTTGTTAACTCAACTGGAAGTTACTTAAGATTACACGGAAGATATATTTTTATGTTTAAAACTATTCCAGGCCCAAGTTGAGAAGATGGTGACGTGTTTAATGGGGTTTTTTGAAACACAAAGAATTTCTGTCATGGACGATCAATTTTCAGATTGTTATATGTTTGATTAATTGATTATCAGAGTAACTGCTGATCAATCCTCTAACTGATTAAGCTACCAATCATTTCAACTCTTGCCTGTGAGTTTATTTTGTCATATATGTACATTAAATTCTGGTGTGAATCCATATCAGCAGTAGATTCAGGCATTGTTTTCACTTTTGTTAACATTGTGATATTTGGTTTCTCAGAGAATAACTATGGGATTGATATATGAGCGTGTGCAATTTGGATACGGATCATTTGAGAGTGGTTTCATAAGGGGACTTGGGCCTTGACTGAGGTGTGCGCTCCACTGAGAGTCATTCTGGTTTGAAATATGATCTATATGAAAGACAGAAAAACATCCTTGGCTTAATGCCACTGCAGAGGACGACAGTTTTTATTTGTAGTGTGAGCTCAATTCAATTAATTTCTTCTTCTATTGTCCCGTCGACAACGAGATTTTGTTAAAATATCCTCAATTTCTTTTCGTGTCTTCTTGCTCGATGAATTATGAAAAACCTTCCTGCACCACATAGGGAACTTTGTTTGTTTTTATTGCATTTGCCAAGGTTGGTAGGAAAGGAAGAATATTTTGTTCAAGGCTGAGTTGAACCTCAGGAGGTAGAGCGGGTCGACCACTAATCAAGTTGGAGGTTCAATCCCTGGGTCCTCCGGTCAGTGTCCTTGGGCAGAACACTGAACCCTGACAGCTGTGCGTGCAGTGTGAATAGTGTGTTATAGTTAAAGTGTTGTGTGTAGAGGTGTGTGTTTGTGTGTTTGTGTGTCATTATGGTTTTTAAACAACATATAAAAGAAACTTTTCTCACACATTTTCTTATGAAGTCAAAAAGATTGAGATCCACCTCAGACAGATTTGGCCTCACCATCACTACCAGCAGCTCTGTGAGTCCTGAAATTAGAATATTTTATTCCATCAAAATTGAAAAAAACAGCACATGCTCATGAAACTAAATTACAGTGAACACATTTGGAATAAATTATTCTCTCCAATGTGCTCCGAGTTGACCTCTTTCTGCGATGACCCTGAAGCCCTGTGTTATGAAGCCGGAGATAATTACGCTGTGCAGCGTTTTCACCGGATGAATTGACAACCTGTTTTTACAATCGGGGGTCACAGACGTCCACCCACTGAGGCAATTTTCCAAAATAATATCTGTAAACACCAAAGTGACACAACAGCAACAGCAGGGGGAAACAAAACAAGGGTTTGCATGAAGTCTGTTTTAAATCAATCAAGAAAAAATCAAAGGGACGTATCCTGCATATGAATATAACCAACCAAGAACCAGTTAGCGTCATGTGTTCTCTTCATTTGTGCTACATGTGGGGATCAATGTATTCAGATGTACAGTGAGTGTGTCCATACAAGGGCACGTTCACTGCATCTCTGTCGTCATGTGTTTTTTTTTCTCTTCTTCCCCTGCTGCTTTCATCTGATGTTCGGTTCAATTCAGCTCATCGTCCTCATCAAAGGTCGTGCAGCTCCTCTCCACAGCCGACAGGCTTGTTTGATATTCCATTCTTTAAGCCGCAGCAAGAAGGAGACCACTTAGAAGCATGTGTGAGAGTCTGAGCTGCATCACATCACACACACACACACATGGAGAGAGGAAGTGTGTCAGAAACTTTTGTTGTTCATCATTTGAGAAGATGTCATTATTTTTAGTGGGAAAAATAGTGTCGTGGTTTATTTTAAACCTCTTGCTGGTGCGTTGGGAATTTCTGGTTCCTGCATTAAATTTGGTATCAGAAATACTCAAATAATATGAACCACACTTGATAATGTGCTTTGTGTACTTTCTTTAAGTTGTTTAGGATTCTTTACAAGTGATGAAATTCTGTTTTAAGTAAATATATAATACATAAGTATAAAGCACATCATGAATAGTTTATTAGAATGACTATAGTAACAAAATAAAGAATAAAAAGTATGTGACAAGTATAATTTATGTGTTTTTCCATATAAAGTGATTTTAGATTGGATTTTAAACAAACAAATACTTGAACCACTGCGCCATCTTGTGGTCTCACAGAGCTTTTTATTGTCTCCTCACGTTCTCAGTGTGAAGTGAGTATTTGCTGCCCCCTTTAGTTTATTAATGTGCAGTGCACAGTCTGACCAGTGGATGAAAGGTCACTGTTGGAATAAATGTCCACACTTTGAGACAAATTCATTTATTTCATTGTGGTTTTTTTTGTTTTTCATCAGATGAAGCCAGATTTTTGCAGAGAGCTGATGTCGGTTCAAACTTCTTGCTTCATGGTCCCCTCCAGTTTGCACACCGTCACACAGGCCTCAGATTTCACACAGAGCTCTGGAGCAGCGGGGTTTATCGACTTATTCGTGTACAAACACGAGGAGATCAGATGGACGAGACTCATGACGGTCATCAGGAGCATGAGGAACCCTAGAGACCAAAAACTCAGTGTAAACGTTGACAATAAAATAGACAAATTAGACCATTTGTGCGTTTTACTTCTTTCCTTCTCACCGCAGTAGATTGTGTTTGCAGAGATGTCGTGGACACGGTAGCTCCTGGTGAACATTGCACCCAGGCTCAGGACGAGAAGGGGGTAAACGCTAAACGTGTGGCGCAAGTATTTGGTAAACAGGGAGTTCTCCAGGATGAACCTGAGGGGAGTAAACATCATTTACTTCTCTTACAACCAAAAAAAGTTAATCAGACATTCATTCAAGTCTGCGGTATTTTTGTCCTCACCAGGTTATGGCGCAGAGGGAGATCATGGTGAGGACGCCGGTGCTGACCGGTGGGTCCGACATGGCATGTTTGTACTTGAACACTATGCCCAGACCCACCACAGCATCCAAGAGAGACCACCAGGCAAACATTGCCAGCCCGTTCTGGGTCTGATGATAAAACACATTCATTAACTGATGATGGGGAAATGGTAAATTTGACCAAGGATTCCACTGCAGAGGACCCTCAGCCTTTCACTGAGGCACCAGTTCCACCAGTGACCTTTTAGTTCAGCCTCACCAAGTAGCGTGTCCACGGGATCACACTGGGGTTGTTGATGGCGAGCCAGGATTTGTGCGTGTCGAGGTTAGAGTAGGACATGAAGAGCATGAAGAAGCTGAGGACGGGGAGAATCCATCTGAGGAAAACTACTCCGAGGAAATCGCTGTGGAAAAGAGAAACAGCTGTAAACACTGGATGGACTGTGTTGCTGTGTGTTTATGTGTGGAGCATTGGACGTAACTTACTGGCTGTCCCACAGAGACATGCTGCATATTCTCACAATATTAATGATGGTCCATATCAGGTAAAACACTGGAGGGTGGATTTCGTGATTGGGAAACCCGGGACCGGGGACATTTCTGAAGAGGAAACAATATATATGGTTACGGCAACAACCATTGATTGTGTCTACACTCACTTTAAATCTTCGGAGAAGCTCTTGTCAACCATTCCTTCTTTTTTCACCTTTCATGAGTTTCAAGCACAATATCCTCTCTACCTTTTGAACAGGCTGACCACTGCGTATATGAGCCAAGCATGTGACCAGAAGTCAATCATAATCCAGTAGAATTCCGACCACCAGTCCATCGTCACCTCCAGGGGGAAGGTTTCTGACACATTCCTGGACGAGGTCTGAAACACAGCTGAGGGCCGAGACGGATACAGATTAATCCCCGAATGGAGTTTATGAAAAGAGTCCAGACAGCACAACACATCTGTAATCAACCTGTTTTCATTTGTCCGCTTCAAATACACTCTCTCCATTTCATGTGACGGACTAGTTGTTTTTATATGACTTGGTTTTATTTGGCTTCCATCCAGGGTAACAGCTGGCACAAATATCATGTTACTGTCAGGGCAAAGGTCTGTCAGTAAGAAGAACACAATAAAATGAGTGTGATACTTTCAAAACATGCCCCTGAAAACCTTCAAATCTATATAAACTTTAGTGCCATTTAATGTGCATTAATCACAACAACACACACACACAATGACATATCACCCTCTTATCAAAACCTTTAAATTCAGTCCTCGCATGCTCTGAATTCAACCCTCTGACTGGTGGAAGGGTTCAGCGGAGGTTAGGTCACTCACCATTGGGCACATTGCCGTCCCTCGCCAGACTGAAGAAGATGTCAGAGGTCACCTGACTGAGGGCAGCCAGGACGATGCTGCACTCATGTATCACCATATAGTCACAGTTTTTCAGAGAGAGGACAGACATCTTCATGGTGTCGGCTCAGGAGACTGCAAGACGCAACGTTTGTCACCACAATCTGATCTATCGGACTTTGATTCGCTGCATGAACTGTACTTTACGATATCACCTTGATTACACACACACACTTTTGCTGTGATTATGATACACAACAAGTGTGTGTGTGTGTGTGTGTGTGTGTGTGTGTGTGTGTGTGTGTGTGTGTGTGTGTGTGTGTCTGTTAGTGAGAGTGTGTGTTAGTGAGTGTGTTAGTGAGTGTGTGTGTGTGTTAGTGAGTGTGTTAGTGAGTGTGTTAGTGAGTGTGTGTGTCTGTTAGTGAGAGTGTGTGTTAGTGAGTGAGTTTGTTAGTTAGTGAGTGAG